TGGCCCCTAACAACGACAGCACATTTGTACGTGATACAGCCCAATCAAACCCACTACCCCCGAGGGGATTTCAACTCATAGTGACCCTATATGACAGAACACACCTGCCCTTCTACAGTTCCAAGATTTTAAATCTTGATGGGAACCAAATGTCTTATTTTTCTCCCTTGGGGCAACTGGTGGGATCAAACCCATGACCTTGTGGTTTACAGCGCAATGCATAATGTACAATGTTCAGTACCAGGGCTCCTTTGTGCACAGGTCTGTTCCACAAAGTTCAGGTGGGACTTGGTGACATTACCAGGCAACCCCTGCCAAGGGCCCTTGTTGGTCTCTCCCTTCCCTTGGCACCTGGGCCCCACACCCTCCCAGAAAACATCTTCTCCCTGAAGCTGCCTTGACCTCGATCGCTTTCCTGGCCCCACAAACAAGCTCAAGGGGCACAGAGCAAATCCGTTTTTCCACCAATAATTCCTACACATCTTGCTTCGTGTCCATGACTGCAGCGCACCGTCACTTAGCCCATTTCCTCCCTGCACTTGCCATTTCCACGCCTCCTTTGTCCCTGACCCTTTGGGGGTTTGCCTTTGCCTTTTGGTCTCCAATGGAGGATGGTTCTATCTCCCCAGTGCTATTACTCCTCTTTGCTGACCTGTCTATTGTTTCGCTGAAAATCGAGCAATTGAATTGAGCTCCGTCGTCTAGCTGAAGGATGACTAAGGGCCATACATGGTATTGGGGGTTCCACCAGTCTCTATCTGACCAACAAACCTTTTTTTAAAAAATGATTTTGGGTCTTGTTGCACAATTTTCTTTCACTCTATCCAGGACCTTCTAAAGTAACCCCTTTCCGAGCAGTTGGTTGTGGTAGCCGGGTACCCTCTAGTGCTTCTGGTCTCAGGGTAGTTGTGGAGGCTGAGGTTTACATGACCTATTAGTCTGCTGGACTGCTTTTGGAAAGCCCACTTCTGTTTTATTTACTTATTTTAAGAAATCATTTCATTGGGGGCTCGTACGGCTCTTATCACAATCCACCCAGTATGGCTCTTATCACAATCCACCCATCCATCCGTTGTGTCAAGCACATTAGTACATATGATGC